CATTTGCTAAGGAAACAGTATCTATGACAAATAGAAACCAAGGAGTGAATAAAATGGAATTGATTATATGGGATTTTCTTGCCAGGCGACACTAAAATCAATGCCTCCCTATAAAGTGGGAGCCTTTCCTGTGGAGACCCGCAGGAGAAGGGGAACACAAAAAGTGCCTCCCCCGGCCTCACAGCACAGGGGTGCTGCCACACACCTCTCAAAACCAGCCCTTCTCCTCTTTCTCCCAAGTGTCCCAGCTACACAGACCTAAAACCATCTTTATGAGGTGAGCAGACAGAAATGTGATTAAATTATTTATTGTGAGGCACAGCCATATGGCTTGTGTTTTGAAAAGTCAGCTTCCCTTGAGAAAAATCGAAAAACTCCCTTCCTGAGATGATAAAGAAAGGATCAGGCTCCCGGAGTCTGGAAAACGGGAGCCAGGGACAGCCCCGTTGTCCAAAGTCTTTGTCTCAGCCCAGCACCAACTGTCTCTTTGTCCCTCTCCCACCATTCTCCACCTTCTTCTAATTTCTCTTCTCCTCTCCTCCTCACAGCCCCTGGACCTCACTCATCTGAATGCTGACTGCTCTGAGCAAAATCAGACCCTGAACCCAAAGAGCACAGAACCAAAGGCAGTAACACAGCGTGGTGCACACTTGAACTTCCCCCCGCAATTTACTTCAGTCCTCTAAATACCAAACTAAGGTTGGTGGGAAAAAAAGAAACACAATACAAACAGCACAGAGCCTTTTAAGATCACGACTCACTGGTCTTGTAGAGCAAACATACAACTCTCTTCCTTAGAAATTAAATCCGCTCAATGGGTTATGAAATCATCCAAGCATGCCTAGTGCCATCTGGCTTCGTGCCACCTACTGTTGTTGTGGAACAGTGTAGATGCTGTAAAACCATCAGCAGCCTCTCTCAAAGGATTTACTCTCCATTTATTGTTACTACACTTATTTTCCATGCCTGGCCCCCAGCCCACAGCCTGTTAGAGAACCAAAGGTGAGACAGGAAAGGAAATAGTTCCTCATAAGCCCATTCCTTCCCATGCCAAGAGCTTGCTCATCTTGCTTAGCAAGATTGCCATAAAGTCACCACTAAAAGCCAAAATAGCTATAGTAAAACTTCAGGCTTGTAAAACCATATGTGTATTCATTTGCTCCTGGAAGGACTTAAGCCAACTAAATCACTATTTAATTGCTAATTTTTTCTTAGAGTGGTTTTTCCCCTTTTACAGTACAGTAGAGCCATGTTGCTCAATAGGAAGGTAAGTGCTGGGGACAAGGCAACTGTGACTTGGAACTTATTGCAAGTTGCAAGCTGAACACATATGTCATCGCTTCTGCATCAAGGTGGGAAACCACCACCACCAGCTTGTCAAATAGATGCATGACCAGAGCTCTGCCTGGTTCTCTCACAGAGTGAGGGGAACATTCCAGCAAACACACACAGGACAAGAGGTATACCTCTGAATGGAAGCAGAGCACAGGAGTGCTAGCTGTTTTTCTCCTGTGTAAGTTCTACAGAAATCCAAACGGCAGCTCCCAAAAGCTAAGTCTCATGTCTAATTCAGCAGCATCCTCCCATCCACTCAAATTGTTCACAGTGGACACTCAGTAAATGATTGGCGAGTGCCTTCAGAACCATCTGGGTGGGCTCTGCTATGTCACTTATGGAAGCTGCGCTGTGCCTTAAGAAGAAAAGTAGAATTCTGGCTCTTGAAGGGGTGAGATGAGATGGTTGCTCCATCAGGCTGTGTACTGTGGGAAAGGGTGTTAACTCTGTGGACCTCAGGGTCTCCAGCTATAATATGAGGGGTGGGATTAGCCAATGTTTTATACCTGTACCAGCCCTTTCAATGTAAATTCTGAAATGTATCTTCCACAAAGTCAGCAGGAAAATTTTCCTGAAAAATTTTTCCTGAACGCTTTGGCAAGAACAAGACAGATTATCTTGTTCGCTAAGACACTGCAATAGTGTTTTAACTAAAAACCACTCCATAGAAATATCAATTAACCTCCTTTTTTTTTTTGCATTCTATTTTTTAAGGTAAATGGGGACAAATACATCTAGAGGTATCTAGAACTCTATTATATTCATCCCACAAATATCCTAGCCCTAAACAACAACAAAACAGGGTTCAAAACAATGGCCCTAAAGAACTGAGAACAGTTCAATTACCAAGGGATGATTTCAGATTCCATGGCGTTCACACTAGACTATAAATAAGGTCTATGATCGTGCTAACTTGAAATGGCAATAAAGTTGGTTTTTTGTTTTCCATTTTGTTTTTTCCTTAATATGTGAATTATCTAATTAAATTGGGATTAGCCTACATAAAATTCCATAAAGCGCCCCCTTGTGGCATAAATATGCAATTGCCAAACAGCCATTTTGTCCTGAGATGGCAGGCATTGCACAAAGAGTAGCTCACATGAATTGAACGCTGGTTACATTTCAAGGACTAGCCTGGGTGTTTCATACGATAACAAGATAAAGGATTAAAAGCGGTCTGCACCCTAATGTTTATTGCAGCACAATTCACAATAGCCAAGACCTGGAACCAACCTAAATGCCCATCAATGGTAGACTGGATAAAGAAATTATGGGATATGTATTCCTTAGAATACTATACTGCAGTAAGAAACAACAAAATCCAGTCATTTGCAACAAAATGGAGGAATCTGGAACACATCATGCTGAGTGAAGTAAGCCAGTCCCAAAGGGACAAATACCATATGTTCTCCCTGATCGGTGACAACTGACTGAACACCAAAAAGGAAACCTCCTGAAGTGAAATGGACACTATGAGAAATGGTGACTTGATCAGCATAGCCCTGACTGCTAATGGACAACTTAATACATTATCCCTCATAGTATTTTTTGTTGTTGTTGTTTTTTGTCTGTTCTACTTAATATGACTGTT